TAGCAGTGAATCATCTAAATGCCATTTCTAGTATTTAACAGCTATTTAAAACATCCTGAGCCTTACAAACACTTCATTAGCATTCTTCCTTCTAAGGACAAGCACCATTCCTGGTTTAAATCATCCCTCTCCCTTAAAGCTTGCATTGGAAAGGCACAGCGTTTTGTCAGCTGTGCACCCGTAACCTTGAAATCAAATCCTTCCCAAGACCAAAAGAAATACTTAGAATTATATTTTTGCTATAGTTGTACCCCTTTGACCAGTCTATATTTTCAGCTTTATTGTTGCATGGGATAAAACTGTCCTGTTGTGTGAATGCCAGGCAGTTGGTAGAACAGTTGCAGCAGTCTGTGGTGTATCCTTCCTAAACTAGGAAAGTTTTGTTCTGGACAGAGAAAAAGGTTTTTCTTCCATTTTAAAACTTCAGTAATTTTGAGAAGAGAATAAATCTTCCATCCTGTTTGAACTTCTTAGATTTATGTTGCAATTGCATTCGTTATAAGCTCATGCCTTGCCCCACTTCTCTTTCTCAGGCCTTTTTAAGTGCACTAGAGTGCAGTTTTAACCAAGGGTGCAAGTTTTAAACAGGACAGGTGACCTTTGTGTAAAACTCCATGCTGTAGGAACAGATGAGGGCTGTTCCCTCTGTACTGTTAGTGGCAAGGAAACCGTGCTGGAGACTGTAGCTGAGAAAGAGATTCAGCCAACATGCCAAAGCTTCAAAGCACGAACATGCTGATGGCTGTGGCAGCCTCTGAATGTGTGCTGTAACCTCTTCAATTATTTGGCTCTTCAGAGACTCAGAAAAGCCAGAAAAGTGTCCACACCCCTTGCTCTGACAGCCAGAGAGCTGTGACCTGTGCTCAGGGACCTGGGCCAGTGGGAGGTGTCCCTGCCCATGGCACGGCAAGGGAGCTGGATGGTCTTTAAGGTCCCTTTCAAACCAACCATTCTGTGATTCTGTGACTTCTCCTGGCATCTGCTACCAAAATGTCCCCTTTTGCTACAGAAGCGCAGCAGTTGCTGTTTCCAGAAGCAGCCATTTCAGTAGGACTGTAGGAGTTTAAAGACTTGGTTCTGTTTCACTTGGGACCATAAACCTTATGTAACTGGGAAATGGGAGACTCCTCCAGGAAGGCCAGCACCAGCTCCCAAGTTGTGTTGTTTCAGTGATTGCAGGGACTGACACAAGAGGGATTTCTAAGGTCACATCCCAGATTTCCAGAGTGACTTTACTGGCATCAGTTGAGTGAGTGCACATTTACATCAGTGCAGGCAGCTGAGGTCAGAATCTGGAGCTTTGCCTACGAAATACGGCGGGGAGCTGAGGAAAGTCTGTGTTAAATATAGAATAAGCTAAGAGCAAAGCTCTGTTTATGTCATCATAAAGCAGGGAATAAGCCATGGGTGGAATCTGAGCATTCCCAAGCAGCACATCTGAAAATTAATTACCAGGGTCCACCAAAGGAGGCAAAGGGAATGATGTCAAGCTTGTGACTCACCAGACTTCTATTCATGTTGTAGTTTGCTGTTTTCAGGGATGAGTGCCTGGCAAAAGCACAGCACCCACCTGGACAGCAGAGTGCAGGGATGTCCTGCCTTCCCTTCCCCTGTGCGGAAGGTATGCTCAGGACAGGGGTGTGCAGAAATGAGCAAGGTGAAAGGAAATGCACAGAAATTACTGTTCTTGGAAAGATGTAGAATATTGACTCTGTGTGTAGGCCAAAGCCTGCTTCATTCTTCCTCTAGCTGCAGCAATTCAGCTAAAAATAGCAGTTCACAAAGCTGTTCTTCAGGCAAAGTTTCCTGGCCTCAGGCATGATTAGGAAGAGTACTGAACTGCACATCCCAAATTGCATCCTTCCTTGTTACTGACAGCTGTGAGTCACAGGTAAGAGAAACATATAGGCTCCAGCTAGGAGGAATTACCTTTGTCCAGCTAGGAAGAATTACCTTTTCAAGACTGACCTAAAGGTTAGAAAAACAGCTACCGTAGGAGCCTTAGCCCGTGAATCTATTTTTTTCTATAAACTGTCTTCCCAAGACCTCACTTACCAGTATTGTTCCTGTTTCTCTGTAACTTGGAGTGAAGCTGTCTCTCAGGAAGAGTGCTGGCACAGGGAATGGGCGTTTGCATGTCCAGCCTTCACGCTGGAGCTCCCTCCAGTCTCCTGCACCACAGGGCTGTCACCTTTGGGAGGCAGCGGGCACAAAGGGCAGTCAGGGCAGAGAAAGGAGACAGAGCACGTGGGTTTTGGGCTATCTTTGTGTGTCATACATATCTGCCTTGGGAAGAGCAGGTCAGTGGCAGCCTGACCTGAAAGAGCCAGCAAAGGGCAGCTCTAAGAGCCCCCGCCCGCCTGCAGGTAACTGCAGATGAGCCTCCAACTGCAGCCATCCTCTCTGCACAAATTTAATTTGATGGCCTCAATACACACAAGAGACTGCAGAGCAAGAACTAAAAATATATCCCTTCCTAATGGTGTGCTAAATTCAGTTTTGACTAGTGTAAGTTTGAATTAATGTATTCACTGCACTCAAGTTTAAATACCTATGGATGTTCAGGATTTCTTTCACCTCAGGGAAAAAATACTTCCTTCAGCTTTCACAACTCTTCTGTTCCTTTCACTGAGCATCCTGAATGGGCTCTATAAACCTTGGCTACAATTTCTCAGCATCTACAAATATTTCCTTAAGTAAAATATTAATAGCACATTATCTTCTAAGGCCTCTCTACTTGAAGGTCAGTTGAGTATTTTGGTGACATAAGCCTACTTTTGTTTTTGCAAAAGTGGGAGAAAAAAAAAAAAGAAAAAAAGGAAGCTTTGTCAGGCCTAAAAAGAGAGAAGGTCAAGTTTATAGATGTCTGGCAGAGATTGCCCTGGAATATTTTCATTTGCAGCTGGGTGGGACTAACAGGGCTTGGTATGGTTAATGGGGCACTGGAAAGTCACTGGCTCTGCTCTCCTCCTGTCCTCTCAGAGCTGTTCTATGGCATCTTCTTAATAATATAGTTTTCCTACTTTACTGATAGAAAATAGGTATGTATACATTTGATCAGATACTTATTATGATGCTCTGATGTTTGCCTGGGTCCGTGGTGCTACTACAGCTTATATTAAAAGGGAGTCATCATATCTTGTTTGTGTTAAAGGCAAAACGGCATCACTAATCTGATTTGCACTTGACCATTTATGGATTTAGTGTCTACATACATTCTTTTGGTCTTGTAAGCATGGGGAAAAGGCAAGAGTAAAAATTGGAATAGAAAATTCTTTTAAAGGAAGTGTAACTTCAAGGAATCGTAGAATGGTTTGAGTTGGAAGGAACCTCTAGTTCCAACCCCCCGTGCCATGGGCAGGGACGGTAGATGAAAATGTCACCGTTTCTTAAGTTTAAGATTTTGTTTGTTTTTTTTTTTTTTCAAGAGGTTGTGTTAATATGCTGTGATTTCAGAAGATGTTCTACCTCAGAAGTTAAACTCTGCAGGTTTTGCGGTGCAGTTGTTACTTTATTGTATCACTTTTCACTGTGAACAGGCCTTTACTTAGCACACTGAAATCCCTAAATCTGCTTTTACTTCCACGTTTTCCTGCTGTAGCATTGAAAACTTCAGCATAACAGTTATTTCTGAATGGGTCTTTTTCAATGGAAATTTGAGAGTGGGGACAGTTTTGTACAACCTGATGTGACCCGAATTGAAGTTCTCTCATGTCAGCCCTACTTTATTTTTAATCCAGGAGGGATCCCAGAGGGATGTAGAAAGTCCCTTGGCAGGGACCAGCTGGAGCTTAGCGCAGAGGTGCAGGAATAGAGGGCTTGGTCCAAGTTCCTGTTTAAGAGTTAATGCTTTATAAAACCTGGTGTGACTAAAAGTCCTTCATGCTGACTCACGTTAGACAGGTCAGACCTGCAGATTTACTTCAGCCTAATCGTGTGTTAATATCAGTTTCTGCTCGACTCGGTGTCTGCCAGGACAGGGCGAAGTTGTATTTTGCAGCTGCAGCACATTCGTACTTTAACCCAAATTCTTAAAAGTGATTGTATTCTGCAAAAGCGCATTCCTGGCGTTTGCCACAACCTCGCCAGAATTGGAGGGTTTGGGATTTTGGGCTGTTTTGTGGCTGGGAACAAATCCGGTACGTTCATACCTTCCAGATGTTTGTGGCCAAGTCAGAAACCCTTAAAACAATCAGTATTTCGAGGGGGCGGAAGGAGCGGGACCACCTCGCTGTGGGGGGGAGGCTGGGGCTGG